CCTACCGCTTAATACTCTCCATAAGCCTCGTTTGAAGAAGGACATGTCATAGCGCTCGGGAAACACCGTGGAGGGGAGCTCATTCCATAGCCGGATGGTACGTGGCAAAAAAGATCTCTGGAAACGCACTGTGGATGACCGCAGTGGCTCCAGGTAGTATGGATGAACTCTACTCCGGTGGCGGGCGGTGCGATGGTAAAAACGAGATGCTGGTATCATCTCGAACAATTCCTCAGAGCACTCCCCATGGAACATACGGTACAAAATACAGAGGGAACCGAAGTCCCTCCGCAGACCCAGAGGCTCCAAACGACTTCCTTTGAAGGCAGCTAAGCATCAGTGTCACCGTTGGCTACATAGACAAACACTTTTTCTTTTGTAATTTTTAAAATTTTTATTGCATAGATGGGTGGACGAGCTCACAGCCCATCTGGAGTTAAGTAATTAACGGAGCCTATAGACATCTATAACGTAAATACCGCCACCCACCTTGAGATATGAGTTCTAAGCTCTCAGTATAGTTGCAACGGCTGCCCCACCCTTTAAACCCAAACGCATTACTACTTCACGGCTGACATGGGCAGGGTGGTGGTACCTACCCGTGCGGGCTATACGAGTCCCTACACAGTCTGCTTTTTTTTAAATTTATTTATTAATTCTTCACACTAATACAAAATCGTGGCTTAACTTCAAGAGCAACCTTAATGCATTGTTATTATGTTATACTACAAAAATATGAACAAACAGACGTAATTTAATTTTATTAATCAAAACAGTCATAGTCATACCACACCCTGTATATAAATCATTTAAAACTGATATTTAGATATTTTACTGTCAATATAATCTACCATGAGTCCGCACAAACAAGTCTTATGTTGCCAAGTCTTCTTTATATCTGCCACTATGTAATTATCCGACTTACATTGTACAGTCATTTTTGCTTCAGCCTCATGTCTAAATGTCTCATCTATGGGATCCGGTAACGAACAAAGCAATAAAAAAAGCAATTACTTAGGGTTACATTAATTTCCTTTGTGATTGTATTATTAATATGTATGTATTACTATGAGTTATTCATTCGACAAATAGCTTTATTATTGTGTGTGTTATGAGGTAGTTTCTTAACGACGGCTCATGTTTACCGATTCTAACAGAATTATAGGTATAATATGATGTTATGTATTATATATTTTTTATTTGATTGTATTTTACTGGTGGTAGGACCTCTTGTGAGCCCGCGCGGGTAGGTACCACCGCCCCGCCTATTTCTGCCGTGAAGCAGTAATGCGTTTCGGTTTGAAGAGTGGGGCAGCCGTTGTAACTATACTTGAGACCTTATGGGTGGCGCATTTACGTTGCAGATGTCTATTGGCTCCAGTAACCACTTAACACCAGGTGGACCGTGAGATCGTCCACCAATTTAAGCAATAAAAAAAAAAAATTACAATCGTGACAAGTTGAGCGAGAAATTTACCAGTCTAGAACTCTCAGTTGTATATCTTGTTATTTTCCTATCTGATAGATAGCTTCAAAATTGGTATTTTTTTAAGCTAGTTAGTTCATTCGCGGTTAAAAACAGCTACTTTTTTATCACGTATCACGTCAATCTGCAGGTGTACATATAAAACCTTTCGTGAGCTGTCATAAAAAAACTAAATATAGTCAGAAAGTTCGCGTGCCACACATAATTTAAGGCATTGTCGCGTGCTAAGTAATTTTCACTTTTCATTTCATGTTTTTCGTGCGAAGTATTTGAATTATTCAGACTGAAGTTCAGGTCACGCGAACGATCTTTTCTTTAATGATGACTTGGTAAAAACGAAAATGCATATTCAGTTGCCTATATTGAATGTTTTTGAATTTAACTTTTATTATTTCGCTTTGGTTGTATCCAAAGTTACGACGAGTACTACGATTTTCGTGGTCACGGATGACTTAAGTGATCGTCAACTAGTCACGTAGGGATAACTAGCTCGATTATTGGCATTTATATTTCAATTCTTTGTACGCAAAGAACAAATATGTAGTATCTTGTAGTCGGCATGTAAAAATAGTTGTAACAATGATTATGACTTGCGTGAACCGAAGAATTATTGAATGCTCATCGTCCGATGCGTTCTTTGAGGAATTGTCTGAATCATCTCGGAAAATTCCTCAATGAACTATTAAGTTACTTTCTTACTAAAAGTAGGTACGCATGTTTCTTCTTTCGGATCATCCGCGCCTATGAAGTGCAAGGGATAATGTAGAACTCGATGGCTTTAGGCTGTTGAGGGTGTGATGCTGGCTTGCTCTGGGGCTAGTGTTGATGACTTGTTTTTAACTGTGAGAATATGGGAACTGTGGTAGTCGATGTTTTTGACACATTGATGATGGAGTGTGAAGGCTGCAATTGTTCCATTGCAGATCACCAGTTTAGGGGTATAACGACGGAAAGAGAGATCTTCCACCGAGCGGGTGATATTGCTCAGTAGACCGACGGTCCCAATGTTGTTGTTCGGAACTTGTATATATGCAAGCTCATCTTGAAAATGTCGTAAGCGAGATTCAGGCATCTGTCAAATATCTTGTGTTCTGTGATGGTTACCGCCACAGTGGCCATAATTAAAGTCTCATCTAGTAAAAGACTACCACGCGCGCATGCACCCTCGCCCGAAACATAACCTGGAAAAGTATGGGAGACATGGCGACGAGGTGATAGTCGACGATTCTACGTCAGCTGTCTCCATACGGCAGCCCGTCAGGCCGCGTCAAGCCGTGCCGCTGGTGTTTCGCAATACACTGCTGGACCAGAGGCGGTTACCCTTCCACAGCCGTTCCATAGAATTGTATCCGCATATTATTTACTTTCAAGAGGTCTGTTACTCCGTTAGAATTAGCCCAGACTTACAAGTGGGCCACCGATCATATTGGAAGCTCCGACCTGATTTGAAAGTTAGGATACCCGATATTCAACGTAATGGTGACTACGAACTCATTACTCAAGAGGGATAGCAACTATGATATCTACAGACTCGAGCAATCACTTAGTATCGGATGATCTGTGGGTACGGTTAACATTAAGCACAGTTTATATGCTCGTGATCCTCGTGAGCACCCGTCCCTTTATTTTGAGGAAGCCGGATTACAAATTAGTTCGAGATGTGTTTCATTAAAACAAACAATTAGAAAACACTAAAGACAAATTACGGGATTACGTGTCAGCTGTCTTCGAAAGAGATCGCCATGTGTGGCTTAGTGCGTTTCTTAATGCAAAAAAAGGGTGCGTGTACTTATGTACGCGCGTGAGAAGTTATACTTTATTTTTATTAAGTTTATTTCTTTTTTTTTATTTAAATTTTAATCAATTTGAAAAAAAAATCGATTAAGCAACATCCTCAAACACGCATATTGGACATCCCTTTTCTTGACATCGTTTCGGTAATTCTCGGTACGGTTCGGAAAGTTCACCTGCGGCTATATTCAGACTGGCCAAGTTACGTCGGTCGTATTGTAATGAGCGATTTAGTGGGCAACTTCATTCTGTTGATTTAGTGTCACGGTGCGTGCGCATCGCAAAATTTCACTCTCATCAACTTTTCATAACGCGCCTAAAGAAGTATAATTTCAAAAATAAGGATGCATAAAGTACCGAAATGGTTGGTAAGACTTTTATTAATCGAAAGACAGACAAATTATTAATGAATGATAATGTTTTTATTGACGGTTTTATAATAATATAGTCTTGAATCACGGATGCCTCCTGGATTCACCATGTCCTGTGTGGCTATGCTACCCTTCAAACTGGACCGTATAGCTAGTTGCTTTGTGGCAGAAATTGGTAGATAATGGAAGGTACCCAATTCCCAACCCATTGCGTTCTACCACAAGCAGTAATGTAAAATTATCTGACTTGATTTTCAAATCGGACACGGGATTCCGTTAAGAGACTGCTCGAAGTATACACTATTGATTGTACTCCAATATTTCAAATCTCAGAACAGCGCAGTTCGCTACACAATCAAGAACTCATTAAACATACGCCCACACATTGCGGTAGACAACATTTCCGCCAAAATTCAACATCCTTTAACCGTAAGCGATAATTCCTGACTAATTGTGTCGAGCATTAAAGCCTTCTTTGACTTCAATCAGGAATCAACGAGCTTGGGAATGTAATTAACACGGGTCAAAGCAATTATCATCTGCCTGTGTCATCCCTTATTGAGCAAAGTTAATGAACTATTCAAAAACATTGGCCATCCCTTAGTAGGGTTGTTCGAGCCCTGATTAGAGAAGGTCTGTTAGCTTTTGCGTCGGTTAATCTGTTTGATTATAGTTTCTAAGAATAATCTGTGCGTATTATGTGGATGTTAGGGCAAAGGATTTCGGGGTATAAGGTCAATCAAGGCTCGGTCGCCTTGATTTACTACTGTTGTAGGAAGCTGAATGCAGGCTGCATAGGAGCGGTAACCTCGAGCCTTGGAGGAGCGTATTTTTAGCAGCTAACGTCTCCAGGCTGATGATAAATAGATTCACCTCTGTCTGCATTAGTAACATTCTGCATCATTTAGCTATTTAAATAGTGGTAGGACGTATAAAAAATAGATGGATGTGGTCAATGACGTCCAATAAGCGGTAAACGGACAAAATTATAGCCACGGTGGGAGGTCTCCTAAATGAGTGTGCAGCAGAATGGCTTCAAACAGGGAGAGATGGCGGGGTATTGTAAGACGACGCGTTTTTGTGTTAACAAGTGTTTTAATTTTAATAATAACTAAAAATAGTAACGATAGTACGTTCACTATTAAAATATAGAACTAAATTTATTTGTGCCTTTAACTTTATCGTATTATCGCACATCGCTTAAAAACTAAATCATAATCGATTTCGTAAAGAAACATCCACAGTTTCCCGAGCACTTTAGCAGAAAAAATATTAACGCACAATCGTCACCCATTAACCGAAGTCACGTTCGTGTGAATGGCTCGAATTTTCACAGTCGATTTCCTTTTCAGATGCTGACAAAGCCACTCGAGCAGAGAGGAACATGAGACCAAATTTGTAAGACGACACCGAAATGGCACTTAGAAAAGAATCCTTGGCCATAATCACGATGTTGATCATATGCAATTACGTCCTAAGTTCAAACTTCGATTCGATACCAGAGAGCATCAGAGTAAGAAGGTCCGCCGATAACACCACTTCGAGGAGTAGCCTAAAAAATTTAAACGAGACAATGAAACAAAGCAATAATGAAACTGAATTTGGAAGGCTTCTAGATGCAACCGAAATGACAACTGAATATGATAATTTCACTGAAGAGCCCTGCGTTGGCGACCGTGCCTTCTGCAATTTGACCAGAGAGGAGTACATGGAGATGCTGAATGATTACGTGTTCCCTCAGCCCTACGAATGGGTACTCATAGCTACTCACGCCATAGTATTTGTGATCGGGCTGATAGGGAATGCGCTTGTTTGCATAGCGGTGTATAGAAATCATTCCATGAGAACTGTCACGAATTATTTCATCGTGAATCTGGCTGTGGCCGATTTTATGGTGATATTGATATGCCTGCCGCCGACTGTGCTCTGGGACGTCACCGAAACCTGGTTCTTTGGGACAGCCATGTGCAGGATCGTCCTGTATTTTCAGGTCAGTTCATTCTATTTTCATTAGAGATTTTTTGTATGCTGGATGTGTTTATTTATAGCTTCGATTTATGTGACTATGCCGCACATTGATTCAATAGAAGATAAGATTTTGACCCAACAATTATCCGGCACGAGGACAACATGGTAATAAAGCCTGTAAAATTTCTTAAATTGCATGTCCATTGGTGATTTGAGTTATTTTTCACTCCTAAAACTTTTTAATACTTTTTACTGTGAACTAAGGTTATTCATGGTATCTTATTACGGTTTTAGCGTTTCCAAAATACATTCGGAATATAGAGAAAATATAACGTATATTTTATACAAAACCCTCAAAGGAAATCAACACATACATGAAGCTTTCGGATACAAATTAAAACCGCATAATTAAGCTTTCGACAAACTTAAACATACGAGGTCCAGTTCATCTCCATATAAGGCGCCCGAGGTGGTTCATCAACGAATTTGAGGTTTCCAATTATTCAAATGACGCCCTTATCTGAGGGGCATGAAAGCTATTTTGCTTTAACTTAATTTCAGAGACCAGACAAATTAATTGCAATTCGATTTCAATCTTGACTCAACTTACTAGGGTAAATGACAAATTTTTTGTCGTATTTTTTCTGTAGATAGGTGAATAGTATATAGAGTGACTCGCCCAGTGTTCAATGGTTATCGAAAATCCCATCTATACATATAAATAAAATTGGAGTGTCTGTAATATTGAAATAACCTCTTTTTACTACATGCATATGAATATATATATACGGTACATACACCAAATTAACATTTTTTTACAATTTTTGTCTGTCTATGTGTTTGTTTCGGCTAATCTCTGGAACGGCTGGATTTCGTTCGATTTTGACGGAACTTTCATTAATAGGTAGCTGATGATATAAGAAGTAACTTAGGCTACTTTTTTTAGACTAGCTTCGCCCCGCGGCGTCACCCGCGGTACGTCAATAACCGCGGGTAACACCGCAAGACTTAGCTAGTAGATAATAAAATTTGAATACCGCCACTTACCATGGAAGATGAGATCGAAGACTGAGCTGTGGTGTCCCACCCTTCAAATAGAAGTCCATGAGCAGAGATAGGCAGCGTAGGATAGGATAGATGATAGAATAGGTAGGATAGCAGGGATACTTACTCGTGCTGGCATGCATTAGACCGTGTCTATCTATCTATCTTTCAGCCCACATACGTCCACTACTAGACATTGGCCTCTCCTAAGCCTCGCCACGTATCATTACGACAATAGGACCTATCACCAATAAATTTGGGTTGCTAATCACTGTACGGTGGTATAATATACACTACTGCTTATTTTTCGTTGAATTCCCTAAGTCACTTTTACGACGTCCGGGTAATGATCACGATGCTGTTCTGCGCGATAAAGTCATTCTTTGGTTTAATTAAAACTACTTTGACAGTTAAATTTCGAGTTTTTAAGCTATTGCATAGCTTTTATCACGGGATTTGAGCGCGGCGACCGAATCAAGAAATTCCGTAACGAAAATAAAACCTAACCCCCCCACTTCGCCTACCGTGTAGCTTGTGTTCAACACATTCACACGTTGCGCTTGTTTAATGTTTGTGAATAAGCGCGCGGCGTGATATCGCACTGCATGCGCATCATGAAAAGTCTGCCCACCTCTCTCTCGCGCGGTCTAGCTTATGAATGTGAAGGGGAGAGTTGATGTTTTGCTTTTGTCAATGTTTATAAATATAGCGTGGTCTTTTATTATTATTATTTTAATATTAAATTATTGTTGTCTTGCATAAGTTGATAAAAAATGCTATGCAATAGCTTTACCGCGGCAGTCCCCGAGTGCCACATGTGTTTTTTTTACTGTCATGATACTCGTATGTATTATTATCGATTCAAAATTCTGGCAACTGCCAACCATTAAGTAAGTCGTTGCTGACTTTAGTTTTTGGCTAAACACGGAGCACATTTACTAGATCAAGTTTTCCATGTTGGAAGCGTTCAAACCAATATCGAGTCGTGCGCTCGTTTGTAATGCTCACTCCACACACGTCATTAATCTATACATATTATAAATAAAATTAGAGTGTCTGTTTGTAGTATTGAAATAACCGCTTTTTACTACTTGCATATGAATATATACACCTATACACCAAAATAACATTTTTTTAACAATTTTTGTCTGTCTGTCTGTTTGTTCCGGCTAATCTCTGGAACGGCTGGACCGATTTTGACGAGACTTTCTCTGATAGATAACTGATGATATAAGGAGTAACTTAGGCTACTTTTTTTAGACTAGCTTCGCCCCGCGGCGTCACCCGGTGTTATTATCGTACCGCGCGCAACATGACGGGCTTCGCCTATCAATAATAAATTTTAATGTTTCCGAAGCGAAGCGAGGGCGGGTCGCTAGTTAATGTTATGAGCCGTCGGTGTGGCGGCGTTACTACCGCAACGGAACTAGTCTTCCATGATTAGGTACTCGGAATTTTATCGTGCCCCATATTGATGAAAAAAAAAGATACAAACATATTGAAAACAAAACACTAATCAATAAACAAATGATTGAATTAAAAAAATCACATTTTCCTAATTTTTAAATAAAATTCATTTGAAATTAAATTATTGCAAGCTATACATAAATTACGTTCCAAATGGACAGTATTGTAAAGCGGCAACTTCATAGGTTAACTGACCAATTAGGAATCTTTAAAATGTATCAGAATGTTGAGGTGCGATGTGATCCGAAGATTTAATGCGTATTATTACAAGAGCCAGGCCAAGAGTCACCTCGTTCCATCGAATTGATACGAATTGTCTTTAACAATATTAATTAATCATATTGTTTTTTTTTTTTCATTGCTTAGATGTGTGGACGACCTCACAGCCCACCTGGTGTTAAGTGGTAACTGGAGCCCATAGACATCTACAACGTAAATGCGCCACACACCTTGAGATATAGTTCTAAGGTCTCAGTATAGTCACAACGGCTGCCCCACCCTTCAAACCGAAACGCATTACTGCTTCACGGCAGAAATAGGCGGGACGGTGGTACCTACCCGTGCGGACTCACAAGAGGTCCTACCACCAGTAATTATGCAAATTATAATTTTGCGGGTTTGATTTTTATTGCACGATGTTATTCCTTCACCGTGGAAGTCAATCGTGAACATTTGTTGAGTACGTATTTCATTAGAAAAATTGGTACCCGCCAGCGAGATTCTAACACCGGTACATCGCTCGATACGAATACACCGGACGTCTTATCCTTTAGGCCACCTCGACTTCTTCAGTTATATTATTTATCACATGTTTAAACTTCTTTAAGACTTCAGTTATATTATTTATCACATGTTTAAAAACAAGGTGAGCTTAGCGACATTACTTTACTTAATTACTTTTCAGTACATTTGTTCTCGAATTTTCCAAGCTCAAATTTCCCAGTTTCTTTTTTCTCTAGAAACATTATTTGGATTCATCTAAATCTTTAAACATTGAACGAATCCATACAGTTTTACTCGAATAATACAAATACCAACGAATGGCGTTTGATTTTTAAAGTAAACAAAACGTTTTCGGCTTAATCGCTTTAAACATTGGCCGCTCTTTAATAAATCGATACTTAAAATATAAAATGAGCCTCGTTCGAACTAGAGTTTTAGTGAACCGGATCGCTGTTTGGACCGGATAATGCATTTATCTTCCGGTTTAATATTTTCATTATGTGGATAGTTGTTTTTCATAGACGTGCATACCAGCACGCGGGCTTATGTTGTGTCATTTGTTTATACTAGTGGCCCCGCAGTAGTCGAAATTCGACTATAATTAGAATTGTAAGTTTGTACACTATTATGATTGTATTTTATACTTCTATGATCACAAATTTCGCCAAGGCTACACTATAAAAGAATATTAATAAAGACAAACAATATTTAATCTATTCTCAATTTGACCACAGACGTCAAGAACAAAAGTTTGACAATAAATAGTATGCATGCGTGTGTGCGTCAAATACATGGTATGTAGTGTGTGTAATGTTTTCTTTATTGATTTAATGTATCTTTTATGCATTATTTAAAAAAAAATATTAGCATTGTGCACTTCTTCTCTATATTCTCGATAAGTGCGCAAAAATTAATATTCCTCCGTCCACGCAATTTTCGTAAAGAGGAATACAAAGCTTTTGCTTCACGTATTCGCGTTCAATATATAGATAAGAGTCCATTGATATCACAAGGTCAAAACCGCCCACCGCGAAACGTAAAGTCGAAATATCATTGTCCGCTCTTTGAGTCGGAAGATATGGCTGATTCACAATAGAAGCAGGCAAGATGGTGCCAATTATTTAGCACTTAGCTTACAACCTTCGCTTTAGCATCAGTAATAACGCACATTTATGATAATTGCTGGTTTGATTGCATGATTTTATTGATCGGTCGTGGAAAGCGTTCGTGGAGACGTATTGATTACCCATGCATCAGCCCGCTGAGTTTCTTCTTCTCAGCGGGTCGCGATTCTGATGCGGTAGTAAATTCAGTCGTACAGCAGCTGCTCTTGAGTTCTTAGGTCTCCTTTGGAGGCGCTCGGGCAACTGTTATCAAATCCCTCCTGGCTGGGCCACCAGTAATCCCTCATTGATAAAAAAAAAATACGTTTTTCGCTTCAGTTAGACTAGCATTAATCTAATATACGTGGCTTTTCCATCCATTTTGCATACAAGTACGAACAATATTAACATTATATTAACTTTATTTGCATAAAAGTATTTCATATTGCTTTCCATAAAATCAATGTTTTATTCACTTCATAGGGTTTTCATCGACTAGCCAAAGTCTTATAATTCATGCAGTGCCATATTTAATATACATACATAACTCACAAAGTGGTGTTCATCTAAATTTACCTCAGCCATTTTCGCACTCAAGAAATCTACAGAAATAAATGCGATCGATCAGTCGCTTCAAGCTTGTCGGAAGAAATTGATGTTTGATGTATAGCTATTATAATTGGTG